TCGCCGATGCCGGCGAAAGGCTCGGCAGTGCAACTACCCTCTCTGCGTTCCAACGGCGAGGGTGGGAAGTGCTTCCGGGCGGGGAGGGTTGACCCCATCCCTGGGGCCGCTCAGAGACGCGCCGAAGACAGGGCCCAGGCGCGCGCAAAAAACAAAAAAACTCCCATGGCTATGGGGCCAAAGCGCAGAGGAGCGCCGATCCCAAGCTGGCGGGCGCTGGTGCGCGGCGGGCTTGGCTTGTGCCGCTAAGCCGAATGCCGCGGGCGCCGATCGTGCCGAACATAATCATACGATCGCGGGCAAGCTGGAAGCGCCGTCGCCCCTCGACAATGGTGGCAACTGGAGACGGGAAGCGCATGGCGATGCCCATGCTATGGTTATCCCGATACTTCTGCCCCGGCAGGGTCCAGTTTGCATTCAAAATCGGAGGACCACCGAGGCCCCCTCAATACGGCCCCGGCGGTTGCGCTGGCATAGGGCGCGCGGTGCCAGAGAACTCGGGCGCCCTCTCGCACCCTCCTGCCGGTTGGGTGTCGGGGCCGCCTACGGCACTGGCCTCACCTGCTAGTCCTGGGGCCCTCCTCCCCCTCCTCCTCCTCCTCCTCCTCCTCCTGCCCGGGGCAGGGCTGGGCGGGCTTCGCGGGGCCTGGGTCTTCTGGGCTTGGGCCAGCGACGCGAGCAGTGCAATTTGGCTCATAAGTCAGGAGGGGAAAAACACACAGATACAATGAATCTTCGATTCCCCAGAAAACATGGGAAACTATGGGAAGTGGGGGGGAAGACAGAAACCCAGAAAATATGGGAAAATATCGCGAATCATGTTATTTGTGTGCATCTATTTGTGTGCTTGTGGGCCCCTTCAACAAGGCCTCCCACGTCAGATCTGTGTGCAGGTTGGTTTGTTCGGATTGGACCGCGTGGATGACCTGCTCGCACCGTGGCACTGCGGAGCGAGGATGGCCTGGCTGCCGGTCGCCCTGGTGGTCGTTTTTTTTTGCGCGCGCCGTATGACGGTGTCGTCTCGCTTCCGTTGGTCGGCCCCCGGGGTCTCGGAGTCTCGCGTTCGTTTGGTCGGCTATGTCTTGAACGCCTGGTTTGGGCGGCCACTCTTCGTCGGAGAGGCCAGCATGGCGCATGTCGTCTTGAGGTTCGGTCCTGCGCAGGGGGGGATTCTGGCGCCTTCGCTCTCGGCTGGCTTCCTCTGTCGTGCCGCAGCCGCCTGCGTCCTTCAGGGCGAGGTGGCTCTGGCCAGGTGCGGCGTTGGCCCTCTTCTCGGTGTTGCTGTCGCGTCGGCGTGGCCCCTGCGCGCCCGCGCTGCGCGGCTTCGTCCCCGGCGGCGGGTGCTCCGGGGCAGTGCCGCCGCCTGTGGAGTCGGCCGTGGCTTCAGCGGCGCCCAGAGGCGCGGTCCGGCTGCCCCGCGGTCCTGAAGGGCCGGGGCTGAGTTGGCCCCCTTCCCCAAGTGGGTGGGCCCGCAGCAGGAATATCACTGCCGAGGTGGTTTCTGGCGAGGTGATCATTGCCGCTTGGCTTCTCGGGGGTTTGTCTTTGCGATGGTCCGGGGAAGGGTTTCATCTTGGACGCGGGCCGTTGCATTCGGAGGGGGGCTGGCCGCCATGATGATTGCGATATCCCCCCTGGTCATTTGGTCCCACCTTGTGCGTTGGATTACGCCGTGCCACCTGATGGGCGAGAGGACCTCGGCGATTTGCGTCTTGGTGGTGCCTGTAGGTGTTGTGCTCCTCTTGTAGCATGGCATGGCTGGGTTCTGCGTGGCGATGCGGCCTCTGGGCGGGGGCCCTGCGGCGCCGCTGCAGCTGGCGTCGATCTGGATGCCACCTTGCCCGGAAGTAGACAGGGCCGGCGGGGCGTCGGTGGGCCCACTGCCGGAGGTGGCCGTGATTCTGTGATTCGGGGCCGTTGTGCCGCGGGGCCCTCGGAGCCTCGGGGCTCCTTGCAGCACTTGGACAGCGCGGAAGTGGGGCGAGCGCGCGGCAGCGAACGCGCCCGCGAGGTCGTCGTCAAGCAGTCTGCGAGAGGCGCTCCTCTTGATCGACTCGTGGCGTTCCTTCGCCCGCTGTCGTGCCGGGCCCGGTCCGAAGCGGTTGCCGTTGATGTGCGCGGCGCCTGAGAGTTGCGCCGCTACCATGTCCACGTGCGCGGGCGAGACCGCAATAGCGCCAGCCTCGCAGATATCCGCGCGGATCCAGACTGCGCCGTCGGCTGGGCCCAGAGCGAGTGGCACGACGTTCCGGGTGCACTTTACCACGCCCCGTCCGAGCTGCTCTGCTAGAGGGCCCCCTCAAGGTGTCCCAGCGTAGGCTTGGTACTCCAGATTTTGTAATAAAGGGAGGGGGGTCTCATTTCGGGGGGGGGTCTCTTCCAGGCTATCTTGGAGGGCCTGGGGGGGTCTGGGGACGACGTTTTGGAGGGTTCTCCCACGGGGGGGGGTCTGAAATGGCTCGTCTTGGAGGGTCCAGACCCCCTCCCTTTTATTACGAATTCTGGAGTAGGCTTGGAAGCCTTGGCCGTGCGTCGGACGATTGGAGTGAGGATCTCGCGTCCTGGGTGCGTTGGCGGGAAAAAACACACGCAGGCTCGGGTTGGGAAATCTGCCGTGGCGGGCGGTCGCCTTCCCGTGGCGCGCTCGAGCGGCACGCTGCCGGTGCGCGGCGTCCCGCCGCGCTCTTTCGCGGGCGCGGTGGCCGCAGGGACGCCCCAGTTCTGCGCGTCCAGGCTGATGAAGGGGTCGGAGTCCTAGAGATTGACACCGACACCAAGATCGGCGGTGTGCCTCCACCGAGGGAAGACGATCCCGATCTCGGTGATGGTGGTGATATTCTGGCTTCCAAGGTGACCGAAGTATTACCACCAACACCGAAATCTAAGATCGTCATCTCCCTGTGGAGGCAAACCCCTGTGCTGGTGTTGGTGCCAATTTCCAGGCCTCCAAAGGGGGGCCTTGCCGTTGCCCGGGTGGGCTTCGGCGTCGACCGCGGCCCTTGGTGGGCCAAGGTCTGAGGCGTTGCCGTGCGTGGAGGAGTGGCGCGGCAGGGTTCAGCTAATGCTGTTCCCCCGCGCAAAGTTGGTCGCTCGACCCTGATGTGTCGTTGGTCAGAGGGGTGCTGTTGGCCAATCGCATCGACATCGGCGCGACGCTGCTCGTGAGCAAGCTCGCTGTATGCAGCGGCTGCTCGGTCGACGCCACCGCTGCTCTGGAGTGTGGCGACGCAGGCCTCCTCCTCCTCCTCCTCCTCCTCCTCCTCCTCCTCCTCCTCCTCCTCCTCCTCCCCCTCCTCCTCCTCCTCCTCCTCCTCCTCCTCCGCCTCCCCCTCCTCCTCCCAGTAAGGTTACCTTTTGGCGGCCCTTGCCTGGCGGTTTCAGCTGCCGTGGCGCGGGGGGGTCGCATGGCGGGGGCCTTTCGGAGTCATGGCGCGGGCTGGGGTGCCGTGTCCGGTCTCGCGAGGCAAGAATGGACGCGAGGCGTCTGGCGCCTGGGCTCGCTCCAAGCAAAACTCTCTAGCCGGGACTAGAGAAAGAGAGAGAGAGAGAACAACAAAAAAGAAAGAGAGAGAGAGAGAGAGAGAAAACAAACAAAATAAATAAATAAAGAAAGAAGAGGAACACCAAGAAATAGACGAAGCGAGAGAGAGAGAGAGAGAGAGTTGAAAAAAGAGAGTGAGAGCGGAAGTGGTCGGGCAGGGAGGGCATCGAGAGCAGTCTGCGAAGTCTGCCGGGGGGG